TGTGGGAGTATTATTTGTGAGTTCAAAGCTAATTTTCCTATAAGAGCGGGGCATAAGAGCATGCAGGGTACGCTTGCACTGCGCTGGGAGATTTCCGAGAAGAGTTGGCCTTGTGTTTTTAAAGGTTATTCGGTAGTTAAACAGTTAATTTGGGGGAAAAATGGGGTCAGTGCACTTATAAACAAAGTACTGTGGCCGTACCATGGTATTGAATGATTACAACAACAAAAAAACACAATGGTGATAGCGTGTTATTTGGACATATGTACCATATAAATACAATTGTTTATGAATACAGTATTCATTTAGTGACACTATGGTATAATCATTTGATACGGTCATTTTACCATGGTACCCCTATATTATTTATATTTATATGGTACTGCAATAAAAATAGCACTTTTATGAGGGTATCATGTTGAAATACCATTATTTTTATACAATGAAATGTATTTATCGACTGTTGCAAGTAAAACTTATGAAAAAATTGGTGGTAATTGTAAAGTGCAAAATGTGATTTTTGTCTTGGTCATGTAAAATAAATAGGAACAAGTGTTCAGTTTCAGCAGTACTCCATTAAAGTACAAATTCCCCAAATTAAATACTTTAAATAATCAATAATTAATTCTTAAAGTGGCATATATTCTACTTTATTCAAACAAGGTACATCAAAAATCGTATTCAAAAAAGCAATTTATCAGTCTCTTAAACGTTTGGTACTTTTTTTTTTTTAAATGTACAGAGTATGAATATATTTCTAGGTTTTGTTTGAAAGTTGTGATGATTCATACAAATGATTCGTCTCAAGCAGACAATAACAAACGCTGTGTTTCACAATTTTGAGAAGAAATTCATTCAGTTATAGTTCTAGTTTCAGTAAAAGTACATCAGTCTGGTGCCGTTTTCTCGTTTGTGATTCATATACTTTGAAGAGAAAACGTTTAATCCGTCAATAAGCAGTTCAAGTGGGTTATTTGGAACTTAAAACATCCGTAGCACTAAAAAAAGGTTACAGATGGACAGATTCTGGCCTGTTATCAAACGCCCATCACTCGCGCAATCCGACCTTCAGATACGGAGGCAGCGAATGAAATTTTGACACCTTGACGCAAATCGCTTTACCATTTCCTACTTTCCATTTAGAATTTTTAGTGTCTGAAACTTGTAAACAAACTTTCACCTTGATGCAAGCAGATCCGCCAACGTCTTTGAGGGCCTGGAAAATATCTGTGACTGAAATCCTGTTTATGTACTTTTAATTATTTTTGGCTTCTGGAAAAATCTCACTTTAGTTGGTCGCTGTGAAGATTTGTCGGCCTGAATTAGGGGTCGCATGGTGCAGTGTGTCTTTGCGGCTTCACTTTTAGACATTAAGAGCAAAATCACTTTTACTGATGCCTTAGTCATTAGGGTTTGCGTTCAGTCATTTCATTAATGTGTCATTCCTTTCTATCACAGCGGTTGAGTCATACTGGTGGTATGATGGTCTCGAATGTTTCTGCTCTCACAGGCCTTTAGACACATTAACCGTCTAAACAGACACACCATAGTCATCTGTTGTTGCTAAATAAAGTGAATTTTTATATATCATAACACTGCATATAAAACTACAAAATGGAGTGGGCAATATGGCAAAAATATAATCACTATTTTTTTCAGGAAGGATCATGTTCCACAATTCTTTTTCATGCTGGTTTTTAATTTTGCTAAAGTTACTGAGCAGTAAAATTAGTAGGTAACTAATATATGTAAAAACAAAGTAAACAGTGAATTATTTTTTTTTTTTTAAGTATGTCTTTCTAACAACAGTATTCAGGTAAGAAATACTACAGAAATCAAATCAAATGTAAAATACAACACTGTATGAATTAAATATTCATTGATTTTATTAAAGATACAAAATGATTCTGTTGAGAGCTGATTTTCTCTTAAGTCTTTTGTTGTTTAATATTTATGACACGCACAACAGCAGGTTTATTAGGCTGCTGTCACTTTAAGACCAATGGATACTGACACGCATCCTATTGTCTCAACTTGTTTCCTTCACCTGAGACATAACTGACTGTATTTACGTGAATACTCACCAAGGCAGCATTTTGCCATATTTTTGTGTGTATTTGACCGTTTAGGCGCACATCCGAACCCAAAATATACTTTGCGTGCGTGCGTCTCGGAGCGCATGCACAGGAAGTTGTCAGTCTGTCGTTACCAATAACTGACTGTATTTACGTGAATACTCACCAAGGCAGCATTTTGCCATATTTTTGTGTGTATTTGACCGTTTAGGCGCGCATCCGAACCCAAAATATACTTTGCGTGCGTGCGTCTCGGAGCGCATGCACAGGAAGTTGTCAGTCTGTCGTTACCAGATTTGGTTCTCTTTCGCGTTTTTTAACAACTCCTTTTAATATCAGCCATGTCGCACTCTTTGCTTTCTCATTCATCCGGGTTTCTTGATCACTCTAATATAGGGGCGGGCAAGTAAATTTATTTCACGATAACAATATATATAACACGATATAGTTATTTTTTGCTTTTAATAAGGTTTTTATGATATCAAAATTTTTGATACCATAGAAATTTCATAATTCTTGACACCAGCGTCAATATCACAGACAAATTAATACAAGCCCAAAAAACCATGTCGCTCACTGCTCAGACCATGCTCAGAAAGCGTGCACATATAGCACTGTTGTTTCTATTTCAACGGCTTAAAATCACTTGTTTTTAAAGGGGTCATATGATGCTTTTTTAAAGATCATTATTTTGTGTATTTGGTGTAACAGAATATGTTGACATGCTTGCTAATATTTCCACATAGTGAGGTAGATATGTGGGGGCGTGTTAGAACGAGCTGTTTTAGGGGGGCGTGGCAGAGTCTTAACTTTGATAAAGTATATCTCTTTGGTTTTGAGACTTTAGTCTTTGCAACTTCAGGGATCTTATCTATTCACAATCAGCTTGTAACACTCCAAAGAGAAAGGAAAACTTGAAATCGCATCATATGACCCCTTTAAACCGCAATGCTTAAAAATGCGTTCAAAAGATTTTCGTGACCACAGCACACAGCAACCTGACGTGAATGCATAAGCGCAATAAAGGCGATAGTCCAAAATCTTTACTGATTGACACATTTCTACCGTTATATTCAGTTTTTAGAGTTAATGACTTTAAAAAAGGCCTGTCAACTAAAAGATGTGTCGATATATTTAGCTACATACAGACACAAACGGACACATTTGGTCACAGTTTGTTTGAGAAGTACAAAGTGGACGTCTTCAAGGTAGATCATGATGCAAAATTGTCAGATCGCCCTCTCCTAATACAGAATTTGGATTTTACCATTTAAAAATAGCATTATTGGTGGTATTTGCTATACTTTTACCATTGCTCAGTTTTTAGGGTTAGGGATTTTTAAATATTAAATCACACTGCAGGTTCTGCACAATTTGCATCACAGACATGGTATGATGATAATGAAATTTTGTGGTTGTGAGGAAGAACGGTCACCAATATGTATACAAACAACATAGACATCATAAACTTCACAGCAAATTTGTCTCACATGCGTATACAGGTTCATTTCACATTTTCTGATCGATTTGTAGGCCTACGTTATAAATTCAGCTAAATATATTTCTACATTTTAATCATAACTCTACCTTAACTCTTACAGACTTTGAATGAAAAATTTTTGATCATTTACTCACCTTCAAGTCATTTTAAATCTGTATGACTGACTTTCTTCTCTGGAACACAAAAGATGATTTATTGAAGAATGTTAGTAACCAAACATTTTTGGTTCCCATTGACTTCCATTGCATGGACAAAAAATACTATGGACGTCAATGGGAACCGAAACTGTTTGGTTACCAGTATTTTTCAAAATCATCTTCTTTTGTGTTTAGCAGAAATAAATAATTGCACACAGGTTTGGAATGACTTGAGGGGGAGTAAACAATGACAGAATTTCATTGGGCGGACGATCGTTTGGGCGGACGATCACTTTAACAAACCTTTTTTCTAACGACTTCTTAAAATGTCAGTTTTTCTGGTTTTACTACATTTGTGGGAAAGTTAAAAAAATTCAACGCATGGCAATGAGGTGTTTCCCAGTTCAACACTCACTCTCGATTTGACCTTTGTTTCATCCTAGACTTGAAATGCAAATATCACAATCAACTCTTACAATCAACTCTTGTGTACTATTTGGTTTTTAATGCATGTTGTCTATTGCTGTCTGAAAATTCCCATGGTACATGTCAATGTATGTTTCTGGAGAAACTTTTTTCAGTTTTGTTTTACATAAGACTAAAATAAGAAGGCAGCTAATAAATGTGGCTTGATTTGACTTAAGTGAAATTTCAAAATCTCTGCAGTTAGCAGTGTGACATACAGTCGTCATAAAACTGAGAAGGGCTATTAGTGTTTATTGAGTTTACTTAGTATTTAACAAAGACAGCATTTAACAGATGACTGTGGTTTGAGGTGTCATCAGTTCACTGACATTGTGTTTTAATTATATTTTATTAACACACATAATTGATGTCTTTAAAAAAGGAGTTATATACTGAGGCACTATCTATCTATCTATCTATCTATCTATCTATCTATCTCCTTTCTCTCTGTTATATTATATTTTCACATATGTTAGCCTGCAATGTTCTGTTAAAGTTTGAATGCAATAAATAAAATAGTAATAAAAAAATGACACTATGAGCAGAATCTCTATGATTACCCTCTATAAGTCACAGTGGGTAAAGCCGCATGGATTTATTATCATTCCTTTCTAGTGTAAAATGGATATTCCCTATCTCATACAAATTTTATATAAATGTGTTTTATGTTTTGAAAGTTGTCAAAGACCAAGAAGAGGAAGTTTTTATAGTCAAACATTTAGTTCTGAGTGGCAGGGTTTCCACTTTAAGACTTAAAACTCGAAAGGTCATCTTTAATTTTTAAATATTCATTTATATAACATAGGTACGTTTATTCTTTTCCATTGTGCACTTTGGGCTCGATCATTATGTGGAGACAGACCACACAGATGCAAATACATTTTTATTTAATACTGCACAAAATATGTATACATTAAAATGTTTTTACAACCTTTAAAAGAAAAAAGAAAGCAACACAAAACAACACTTCAAGTCCTTTCAGAGGCTTATAGATATACTAGCTTTAGCGATGGAGGAATTCAGTACAGACTGGTCTTTTTCATTATCCGTAGAAACTCCTGCTCATTAATCTCTCCGTCACCATCTCTGTCGGCCTCGTCGATCATGTCCTGTTCCAAATAAAAACCCCGAGACACAATCATGTCACAAAACAATTGCCAAAAACATGTTGTTAAAGTGCAGTGTTTCCTAATGGTGTCAGCTGTTGCTCCGTGATGAGGGATCTTATCTGATCTTATGTCATTCACTACCCACTGACTAACCAGCCACTTTCTCAGGAGAGACACAATTCGTCTGTGAGGTTTTACACACAGGAACATCCTCTTTCTGTGTATTTCCCCACATCTGGAGAAAGACGCACCTGTAATTCCTCATCCGTGAGGTTCTCCCCGAGTTCTTTGGCCACTCGCTTGAGATTTTTGAAAGAGATTTTGCCGGTGCAGTCGTCATCGAATAGCCTGAAAGCCTTCAGAATTTCTTCTTTTGAGTCCTTCTCACTCTGTTGTGAAAGATAAATGACACACAGCTAAACTCAGTGGGAGTGGGCATCTTGGCCAAAATCACAGTATGAGTAACTTTATATCACGGTAACGGTCTCCCATGCCAAGACTTGTATTTTTGCTTTAAACAAATAAACATTTGGCTATTATAGTTAACTAAAACGGAAACTAAAATTTAAACCCTAAAACAACAACACACACAAAAACTATTTTCATTTCTTGAAATAAAATAAATGTAAACTGAAATAAAATATATATTTAAAAAAATTCAGCTAGCTTGCCAAGACAATATTTCTAATCTTAATTAAGTTTATCCTGATGTACTAAAATTACTAATAGTAAAACTGAAATAAAATTAATAAAATCTATTGTTTATACATACAGTCGTGGCCAGAATTATTGACAGATTGTATTGTAAATATGATAAAGAAGCCTGTGAAAATAAATCTGCATTGTTAATCCTTTTGATCTTTCATTCAAAAATCCTAGCGAAGTCACAATTTTATTGAAGTAAAAAAAATCTGAAAATGGGGAGGATGGATGTGATGGATGATTAAGGGAATTTGGCTTTGGTTTTCCCTCATATTTATATTCCTGTGGAACAGGAAGTCATGGCTGTTTCATGTTTCATTTCATGTTTGTAGTCATCCTGGTGTGCTAGAAATTGTAAATATGAATGGGCATATACTTTAGAGATATTTTACTCAGGAATTTCTAGGGGTGCCAATAATTGTGGCCAACGTGTTTTTGAGAAAAACATTTATTTCATAATGAGATTTTCCCCACATTGTTGTACTTCAATAAAAGGTTAGGTTTTTGTGAATTTTTGGAATAAATGATCAAAAGGATTAACAATGCAGATTTATTTTCACAGGCTTCTTTGTTCATATTTACCAAGGGTGTCAATAATTCTGGTCACGATTGTATAATATATTTTGTGATAAAAAATACTACTGAAATTAACAAAGATACAACAAAATTATTAAAACGTTTACTAAAACTAAAATGAAAACAGAAAATATCAAAAGTAAAACCAGATTCAAAATATTAATAAAAACTACAATAGTATATCAAAGATACTAAAATAACACTGTTATATATATTCTATAACTACTTGGTAAAGTACGGTGGCCGAGAAAGCTCAATGCGCTGCAACTTTAGAAAACACATGCAAATAGAAAAAGCACCAGCAAATTAAGAAAACATCTTCTTCAGTTTGACGGCACACGTGCTGCAAATACTCGCAACACAATCAAATACAGAAACATGCTGCAAATGCTCACAACACAACCAAATACAGAAACACGCTGCAAATGCTCACAACACAACCAAATACAGAAATGCAAGTACAGACCACAATGGGAGGATCCCAACAATGCCAAAATTACCCCAACAAAACGAAAATTAACCATGTTTTTTTTTGTATTTATTATAATTTGTATAACCACAGTTGTACAAATACCATGGTTAAATTATGGTTAGTGTAGTAAATCCATGGTTAATTTGTGGTTACCATGGTTTAACTATAGTAACAATTTTTTGTTTTTACTTATTTTTTACATAATAAATGTATTTATTAATTCATTCATTTTAATAGTAAAACCATATGGTTAATTTTTGTAAGGGAAGTTGTAAAGTAAGTTAGCCAGCTTACATGCTTTCACAGTTACAGTAATTGTGTATTTCATCAGCTTATTTAGGCTAATTTAAAAAAAAGAAGAAGCAGCAAAGGAATCGTATGATCAGGATGTTAAAATAAACAAAAATCTCACCTTTCAGAGCAAATATTGATAAATATGTCCCAGCCATGTTCGTCACTTTGCGGTTCCCTTAAACATTTCCGATGTGGTGTCTGTGCCTATTTGCGGCGCGTTTCTTTATTTGTTTGTGTTGTGAGCATTTGCAGCATGTTTCTGTTTTTGCAGCGCGTTTCCTTATTTGTTTGTGTTGTGAGTATTTGCAGCACATTTCTGTTTTTGCAGCGCGTTAATTTATTTGGTTGTGCTTAGGGGTGTAAATCGGATGGTTCGTCACGATTCGATACGATATCGATTCTCATACCCAGCGATACGATATTTGCCGAAAAATTCTATGATACGATTACGATTAGATTTGATACAGGAGTATATCGATCGATATATCGATATTATGATATTATATATCTATTTTAAACAACCATCTACATTTTTATTAACTCACAAATGCAACCAAAATATATAACATGAACATTTATCTGAAATTTTCACATCCTGTACCTCAATTGGGACATTCACAACAAAAAAATAGGCCTACACATTTATTTTATTTTTTTTTAATAATAAAGAAAATAAGCAATTGGAAAAACAATTCTGGCTGCTACTATGGGCTCAGTGCTAAAAATCTTTTCTACAGATAACCAAATTACAAGCAATAGCAGAAAATAAATACAATACAACAAAGACACAAGTTCAATAAACTGCCAATATAACACTGTATAAATTAAATATAGATTAATCATTTTTGATGTTACCAAGGTTATTTAGTCAGGAGCAGTGAGCACTTGTATTTTTCTTTGACAGCATTAGGTTTATTATTAGTTTGCTTTCACTGAACGAAGTACGGATTTAATAAACTGATACACATGCCTTTTCTTTCTCAACTATTTGTACAAGTATACAAGTATTTGCAGCATGTTTCCGTTTTTCAGCGCGTTTCTTTATTTGGTTGTGTTGTGAGCATTTGCAGCGCATGTGCTGTCAAATTGATGAAGATGTTTTCTTAATTTGCAGGTGTTTTTATTTTCTATTTGCATGTGTTTTTTCATTTGCAGCACGTTGAGCTCTCTCGGCCACCATAGGTAAAGCCTATTTTTGAATAATCTATTTTTTCATTAAATAGTTTACAAATACTAGGAATTACACCTCATTTGATCACTTTCTCTTTTTTCAATATTGACATATCAAATTTCAGATTCTTCATAAAAAATAAATGACAAGACTGTTTTCTTCTGTAGAGCTGCTTTACAGCTGAGATTGACGTCTTTTCAAAATTGATGAATTTTGCAATGAAATTTGTTACGTGCTATGCGTATGTGTGTGTTTCTTCCTTCCCTCCCTCTCTTGTCTTTTCTCTGCTGCCTCGCTCTTAGGTTCCTGGTTGGACGTGTCGCCTGCCAGTCATAATTGTGACGTCGCCCTCTGCGCCCAATCTGCTGTCGCCCTGCCGGTTTAAAAGGTCCTCCCGCGAACCTCGTGTGGCGGCGGTGTGTTTGTGTGTGTGTTTTGGTTTGCTGAAATTAGTTTTTGTATCCTACTCTTTAATGCTGTGTGTCTAGCACTTGCTGTGTATTTGAGGTACGGTTCGTTTACTCCTTAATTAGGGAAAAAGGAACAGGTAAGCATATCGCGCGATATACACTTTGCACATAGTAACGAACGATGTGTTTAGATCCTTGTAATTTGGTTTTTAGAGTAGGACATTTAGAGCGTCGATATGCTGAAGACTTCGGTTTCTTTTCCACATTTTTCTTTTGTTAGTTAGGCTAGAGGAGCTTTATGGGAATCATTTGGTTTTATTTAGTTTTCTTTGATTTGGGCGCCACTAGTGTTGCTTTCGTCAACGAAAATTATGACAGTATGAACGTGACTAAAACTAATAAAAACTAAAATGACAGCTTCACACAAAGACTAGACTAAAACTAAAATTAAAACAGTTTCTTTGCGTTTTCTTTTATTAAAAATAAGACACTATTGTAATGTATACAATGGTCAAAATTTTTATTTTTGCTGGGAAATCAAACAAATGAACATATTTTGAACTTGATGTACCAAAATTCAGATTATTCATACAAATTAAAAACGTCAGTGCAAAAACTACTTTATGGAATGTATAAGTTAAAAAGAAAAGACTTCATAAAATGGTTAGTTTAAATTCTAAATTCTGATTGGATGAGCCACTTTTGAGCTTTTGTAAAAATAGACGTTGCTTGGCAACTGTAAACAACTCTCTCAAGGCTTCGCTGTCTAATGGACCCTTTTCACAAGACTGTGATGACGCGTTTAACGGTCCTCAGCATCGTAAATCCTCGAAAGTTTTTCATATTTGTATTAAAAAAAAAATGTATCTACATTTATAACACTATTCTTTGTATTATATCACCTTTGCATCAAATTACAAAAAAAACAGTTAACCCTAATGCGAGGGTGTTTCTAATGCAGCGTCTATGGGAGGGACAGTAAATTTGACATCGTTCTCTCTTCTGACTGCCATTATCAGTCTCTCTCAATTTTTTTCCTTTTATTGAAACTCATGAAAACACTATCGTGGAGTTTTTCTTTTGCTATTTGAGCAACTGGGAATGCAAAAAGTATATTTGTGGTGCTCTCCCATTCACTGCTCTTCAAGTTTACCCAACTATGACGACATCCGCTGCTGAGAAACCCGGAAATGTGAAAAGGGTCCATAACGCCACTTAATAGCAAGATCCTATCATCTTGATGTGTTTCTTTTCGGATATTTTACTGATGTCATTTTCCATATAAACACCTGAGGTTTGCAACAGTGGCCAGATAGTTGTCTGATTGCTTATGTTATAATTCGGCTTGCAGACTTACCATTTTCTGTGTCATCATAGAAAGGAAATCATTAAAGCTGATTACGCCCGATCCTTCTTTATCAATATCAGCAATCATCTTTTTTATCTCTTCTTTCTTCGGCTCAAACCCCAGAGCTCGCATAGCAACCTATGGCAACAAGTCAATTACTCTGTTAGTATATATGCTCATATTGGACACATATTTGAATGGATTCACATTATTAAAATTTTTAAACCATTTACTCTTAAGGCGAAGCTATAGGCAAATAAACAACGGGTTTTTCATATATCATTTACCTGATTTTATACAACATTTTATTTTTAAAAAATGATGAGAATTTTTTTTAGCTGTTCACAGTATTTTCTGAGTCATTTGGATTACTTGTGGATTATTGTGATGTTTTTATCAGCTGTTTGGACTCTCATTCTGACGGCACCCATTCACTGCAGAGGATCCATTGATGAGCAAGTGATATAATGCTACATTTCTCCAAATCTGTTCTCATGAAGAAACAAACTCATCTACATGCAAATGTTCATTTTTAAGTGAACTTTTCCTTTAAATGCATGACATTTTATTTAAGAACAAATATAAATTATGCCTGTGTATGTAGAATATCTTTTATGGTCAATAAATAATTCTCATTTGTGTTCAAATAAATAACAGACTATTACAAATAAAAAATAATAAAAGTCTACTAAAATTCCTGTTAATGACATTTACTGATTATACATGTAACCCCAGGGTCATGCAAATTCATTAGCCGGTAGTAGGTAAGGAGTAAGATTAGTCACTCAGATGGGATTTTACGATTAGGTCATTCCTAGATTTAGTTTAGATGCTGTCTCCGGGCCTTTATCAAATATAACATTATGGCTACAGGTCTCAAACCCTTTTTACCTTCAGTTCTTTTACATCTATGTTTCCAGACCCATATGTGTCAAACAGATCGAACGCTTCTTTGATCTCCTGCCTCTGTTCCTCTGTCAGTTCTGGTTTGGGACCTGCTCTCTTCCGCTGGTTCGTGGTGGCGCTGGGTTTCCTGAAGCTTGAAGCCTTGAAAATAAAAGCAGAAAGAGAGATTCAGCCATGCTTCCACCAGGGGGTGTTATCATGGTTTTCTTATATGTCTTATAAATGCTTCTATAAGGGAGTTCTCAATGCTGTGGAGCTATGCAAGCACCACCTCCCTCATTTCCATGGTGCACACAGAAAAGTACAAATAAATAAATGTATAAATGAGTAAATGTGTAAATAAATACACATGGGAATAAATAAATACAAAAATAAATGGATGCATAAATAACAAAATAAATGAAAGAATAAAAATAAAGTTAAAAAGAATAAAAATGAAGTTAAAATTAAATATATAAAATAATTAATAAAGGAAAAAAGTAATACATTGTACATTACAATTGTACTTGTTCTATCAAGTTATTTATTATGTATTTTCCTATTATTAAATTATTTATTTATTTTTCTTCAGGTTTGGTCCTCCATATTCTTACTGTTTACTGAGTTTTGTTTTGGAAAAAATCAGAAATTAAGAATATGAACTGAACTAAAAATATTATTTCTGTTGCAACAGAGGACCAGACAGATAAAAGTGTCCAAACACATCCTAAATGTTGCCTATCCTGTGTTTCTTTTTGTATATACTATATTTTAGCACATTTTACAATAATTTGCACACTTATACTAAAGCTGCAGTGTTATTCGATTTTTTAACATTTTGAGCTAAATCTCAAAATGATGACTGTCCCAAGCATGGTTCAATAAATTACAGCTTTTATAAATAAAAAAGCATAAAAATGTTAATAAATACCTCCGGCATAATTGTACAAGTGTCTATTTTAGTAAATTGCAATCAATTTTTTCATCCATATATTTCTGAAAGTGTAGGAACTTGATACATTTTGTCTCTAAAAACACCATATCCTGATTTTAAATCGGCCAATTCCGAATAAAACTTTAATTAGTTGAAGGACTCCATTCATGATCATGTTACTGAAGCCCCCTGTGAAGTCCATGACATGTGCACATGGTCAATTTTGTCTCATAATTGTTCAAATATTTAACAAAAGTGTTATGTTTTGTTGTCCTTTGGTGTGACACCCCTAAATTATATTTTTTATTAAAAACTGCATGTTAAACTTCATAATCATGGAAAATAATGCAAATGTGTCTTGCTTACCGCTAATGGCAGGTTAGCTTGGAATAGCAAGGTCATTAATTGACAGAAAAAGGCTGAAACGTCCTCTGGTGTGACAGAAAATGTCCTCTGGTGTGACGCCTGTACTGTCACACCACAGGACAAAGATGTCACACCAGAGGACAAGGTCTCTTTAAGAAGCATTTTAAATAATTAAATAAGATTTAACTACTTTTTATTCTTTTTTGATTTTAAGTGTTCTTAAATGCAATAATAATAACATTAATTAAATTATTTTCTGATGTTTTTACAGAAAACTTGTACTGTTATAAAGTGTCATGAAAATAAGTATAAAATGTGATACTTTGTTTTTGAGACAGAAAGAATTGAGGGAGAGAAATTACTGGAAGAGAGAGGACACGGAAATATATAGAGAAAATTAACAGGGATACACCAGAAGGGAGGAGATCCTAAGAGAACGATGCAAAAAGTAAATAGAATCAAAATGATGCCTTAAAAAGAGTAGCTATATAGTTTATTGCCGCACATGCAGCAGGGCGGCTAGAAGAGTTTCAGTAACATACTGATTGACTAAGAGACTGAATTTTGTTGATGAAAATAATTTTTTGTTTTGTTTAAAAAACATGTTGATATTGTTTCTATCAAAATTAAACTTTCTTTCTCCTTTGACATGTTCAAAATTAAATAGAAATAATTTAATAATTACCATTTCTGTCCTTTAACATCTTATATTAGTATAATTTTCAGCAGTTTTGAACAGATGACAGCAAAGTTTGTCTTGAAATTGTCCAACATTTCATATTAAATAAATAGCACTATGAAAGTGTTTAACAATGAAGATAATTCTCTCTCATGCTATTTATGTATTATTAAGAGTTTTTCTTTCTTCATTTTTACTGTCACACCATACTTATTTTGCACTGGTGTTAATTAACAGCAATCTTCTTCTCCTGCAAGGATAAATAAATGTTACTTAATTAAATCACATTTACATAAATTATTCACAGGCTAATCTGTATTTGGTGGGAGATTTTAAGAGCTGGATTAGTTTCATAATCACATACGCAGATTTACAAAACTTCGGTTTAATTAATTAGATTCAAGCAAGCACAATTACTGTAAAGGATAACAGTTTCTATGTTACCGCACTGAAAGTGTTTCAACAAATGAAGCTAATGTCTGTCTGCTGGCTTCCATAACAATAACGCCAACAAGCTAACAGTTTAGGCTAACGAACATCTTATATATACTCTTATTTAGTTTCTGCTAACGTGAATTAATTCACAAAGTTTTAAAAGTAACTTAAGCTATACTTACCATCTCGAAAGTTTTAAGAGAATCAAACCACAGCTTTGCAGCTTGCGTGAAATGTTGGTAAACAAGAGTAGGAAATGCTGTCAATGTCGTTGGTTTTCTAGAGCGCGTTTGGATGGGCGTGGCTTCTGACTGATTGACAGCAGATTGATCCAATAGCAGGTGCAGCCTTTCTGTCTAGGATGTATTCTACCAATAAAACATGAGTGGGCGGGTTTGTTAGATGTAATTGACAGTCTGTTTCGTTTGGCATCCGTCTCTTAGCAACGAGCCATTAGCAAGCGTGTTGTAGTGCGGTGCGCATGCGCATTTCAGAATATGGCCCCACCACGTAAACAATGCAGCTCAGCGCAGCGGTGAAGGTTTGTAGCTTCGGTTTGATTAGGACATTGTATACGACATATAAAAAAAGAAAAACATCTCCAGCAGCTAAATTCAAATCTGCGTTCGCTGGCTGGCACAGAGCCAGAGACAAACGTTTTTAAAGCGCTGCGCATTATAACCAATCCCATACTATTACGTTGAGATTATGAATACAAAGACCAATCAGAGGCGTTCTGCGCATTATAACCAATCCCATACTATTATGTTGAGTTTATGAATACAAAGACCAATCAGAGTCGTTCAGGTGAGTCACCGCTGTTTCGTCACTGCGCGCGCTGGCTGACTGAACTCTCTGGCTAATTATCTCATCAGAAACAACAAAGTGAAGATGTACGAATGTAAGTAAGATATTAATTTTACAGTGTAAACAGCTTTAGAGATTATTATGGGAGTTTTTGAGAGTGCTTGAATTCGCTGGACTGAAGTGAAAATGTTCTTTGATAGTGTAAACGTTCTTTGCTCTCTTTTTGTACAATGAAAGTGTTATAAGCTAATTAGTAACTTACAATGTTTTTATTTACTTCACATTAAATACAAAGTCAGTCGTATTAAATATATTTAATAGCCCCAACCCCCACCCCCCTTTATTCGTGCCACCTCAAAAATTATGCCTCTGACACTACAATACAAAATTATTTGTCAAATAAATGAAACATGATGAAACATTCATTTTAGTTGAAATTGTTATAGATTACATCTAGATTGCAGCGATACATGACATGGTGAAAAATGACTGAATGAATAATAGGCTACTTAAAGTAGTTTAAGATTAATTTTAAAATTGTGCCCCCTAAAAGCACAAGTGGCCCCTGTCTGGCCCCCCCAGTTACTGTGGTCTAGAACCGCCCCTGGCTGTATATGACTCGAATTTGAGTTGAAATTTGATCCAAAATGATATCCACACAGTTTGAATGCTTTGTTTTGCCTGCATAAAATACAAGAGAAGCTAATTTGCCAATAAGACTGAATAACCTCGAGTTGATCTTAAAAGGGTCATATGATGCAATTTCAATTTTTCCTTTCTCTTTGGAGTGTTACAAGCTCTTGGTGCATAAAGAAGATCTGTAA